CCCCCCCCGCATTTGGGAAGTCGGTCGTTTACAAGACAAGATATATTTCTCTCAACTTAAATTGCTATGTATACGTTTACCGGTTGAGTAAGCTCATAATCAAATTTAATGTTGATATTGATGACAGTCTGAAAAGGTTGGAGATATAAATAACTTTAAAGAGTGTTCAGTGGAACAGGCTGATAAGTCATCATTGCGATTGAGTAATTAATGAATTAAATGTCAAATTGCCGAGAAGAAGACATGATAGAGGCCTCATCATTTATTATGGATATGATTACCAAAGGGGCCTTCAATTTTACCATGACTATCGTAAATCAATGAAACTTGCAACGAGACTAAATTGTCTAGCCTAGCTTCTAGAACAACTGGTTTGAATTTGAGAGCACTTAAAATTATTATATAATAGTTAATGACGGTAATTTTTTAATACGAAGGGAGCTGTGAAAAACAATCAGCAGCACGACAATAATGCTCTAGAGCACAGCAAAGTGGAGAAAGCAATTGTCAAACAGCATATTCACCCTATCTGACTTTTTCCTTTTCCTGAATCTGGAAAAAAAAAATCCCTGAAGGACACATTATAACGTTTCCAATGTGATAAATGTATCTGCGGCAGAGGAATTGTTTGAGTCCCGTCCGGGGCCATAGATCTATTACATGTATTCAAATATAACATGTATTATGCTCAAGGACGTTTGAAGGCCAAACTAAACAAAAATGGTTGTGCTGCCAATTTGCAGACTGACGCACGTGTAGAGCTTTATTGCCTTTATACATGTGCTTATAATTATTGTGAGTGTCAAATTTCAACTTTCTAGCTTTCTTGTTTCAAAGCAATCAGGGTAGGGATTTATTATTGGACTGTAGGCTGCATAAAATATTAATGTTGTCTCAATAGTATGTCTCCGTAATAAACATACCATTATACCATTCTGATGCGGACAAAATTAATTATTAATGCAACAATCAACATCGTCTTTGAAAGTACAATATTATAATATGTACATCTTCGAATGTTCGAACATTGGCGACTGGGGGAAAAAATACTCGGTGTGGAATTATTCCCGGATCGATGCTCTATGGTTCAATGTACTTCCGGTTTACTGTGAGTAAAATAAAACGCAGTGGTAGATCTATTGGTGAATGACGAAGTAGAAGGGACGAGTAAGACCTGGACACTTCGTCGTAATAGCAAACGAGTCCAAGTTCAATCACAATTAAATGTATAGATAAAGGTAAATTTTGAAAACGATATCTTATTCAAACTAAACCGAGTAGGGGACAAGAGGCAAGAGAGAGGGATGAGTGTGAGACTCCCTCTAGACCTAGAACTAGATCTAGATCTAGAATCTAGATCTAGATCTAATATCTAGATCTAGATCTAGATCTAGATTCTAGACTACTGACGAGCCACTGACACTGACACGAGCAGTGGATGGGTCGTGGTTTGTAGATTGTAGATTTAGAACTGATCGGCTGTCCTTCTCATCGATTCCCTTTCCCCATGCCCCCCCCCCCCCCCCGCCCAGCAGTACTACTTGACTTAAGAATGTGGGTTTCGGGGTACCAGTTTTGACCCCACTGTCCCCACTGACGATTACTTAGCCTACTTCTCTGGTTCTAAACTATAACAAAAATGGTGCATAAACAAGAATGACAAGATGGTTCTCTCAGACAAAAAAGTATCCATGGACGTCCGCGCAATCATCCGCAATGGCTCAGATGGGGCTGCAGTCTTTGTTTTGAAGCTCTCTTTTGTTTCTCCAGAAAAGTAGAATAGGAGGTGCTTCTCTTCTTCAGTAGATCTAGATCTAGATATCTAGTTCCCTCCCCCCCTTATTTGAGCCTAGATTAGATCTACGTCTAAGTCTAGATCTAGATAAGATCTATACTATAGTCTATACGTTTGATGCGCGGCGAGCTAATTATAGAATTGAACCTAACAACTGCAAAGCATCAAACGAAGTGACGATTCCCAGTGACACTGGGGATGGGTACAGAAACTATTCCCAGTGACAACGGAACTCTTTTGCATTAAAAAATCAGAAGTCTTTCTTGCATTGTAGACGCTCTTCTCACTTCAGTTCTGTACTTTTGTTCTCTTCTCTTACTTAGGGCCTAGACTTGACCGTAGAATAGATCAAGGTCTAGATCTAGATATCTAGAAGAATCAGGAAAGATTTCTACCTGTCCTGTACCGTGGTCTCCAAAATCCGTATGCAGATCTAGATCTACACGTACATAAATTACGACTGAATAATAAGCATGCATAGAATGATCTTTCCTTTTTCTTTAAAAAAAATTATTCCGCTCACCCTAGAATCTACTTAAGTTTAGTTAGATCTAGATATCTAGATCTAGAACTAGTATCTAGAATCTACATTAGATATATATATATATATATATATATATATATATAGTCTAGATCTAGTATTTAGTAACGAAGTGATTATTCGGACTCGAGTCCGAATATGAAAAAATGTTATTCGGACTCTGGTTCTTGTCCAGCATGACATCACTTCTGACTTCCGACTTCCTGTGACTCGTGACTCCAGCTTCCTGTCCTGCCTCACTCGTGACTCGCATCAGGCTGGGTAGAGACCGGGATCACTTCGGGCAAAAAGGCGTTTTGTGCAGGAGCCGAGTTTTTATCTTATATGATGAATTTGAGGCCGGCCTGAAAAGTTATAGCGCTTCTAATAAATGTTTATTTGTCAAGAGGTCATCAGAAGCAATTAAAGATGGCTTGTTAGCGTGTGTCGGGGTCGGATGGGCGGCCTGCACACGTGTGGCTGTGTCGGGGAGGGGGGTGGGGGGTGGGGCACTATCGGTCCGGGCGTTGAACGTCGCATACGCGTCAGTCTCTCACCCCCCCCCCCCCCCTGGCAACTGATCATTATTACAATAATAAGCTAGTCTTGACGTAGATCTACGTAATGAATTGTGCGCTGGTCAATGGAATCAAAAGTTGCCGTATGCTCAGCTCTACACAGCAACACAACTTTTTCTTGGTAAACAATCGAGATGACACAGGCTTGTGTATTTGAATGAATCGGCCTTTTTTTTTTTTACACAGCTCATAATATGCAGGTGCCAGGTGGTCTGCTAATCTTCAATTTTACCTTTTTCTACAACAAAGAAAGAGGGAAACATGGGGGGTGGGGGGGGGGCGTATTAATGAGGGGGCAGGCATCGGATCGGCAGAAAAGGTGTGGGGGAAACTAAAAAATGGCGGAGAATTGGAAGCACTGAACGTTAGATCTATAGAACAAAGACACTTCCTTTTTTCCGTACTCGAGTCCGAATAAGAATTTTTTTTATTCGGGCTCGAGTCCGAATATGAAAAAATGTTATTCGGACTCGAGTCCGAATAACGACGGCCATTTAGTATCCCATCTCCATCATGCCCATGCCATGTAAATGAGTGTGGGAACAATATAGATCTAATGGGCCTGTCCGTTCTCAGTGTCTCTGGGAATAGTTTCTGAACCTATTCCCAGTGACACTGGGAACAATTCTGCCCTAGGTCCTATTGCCAGTGGTTTTTGGGCCTGGGATCAGTTTCTGGGCCTATTCCCAGTGACACTGGGAATAGTTTCTGGGCCTATCCCCAGTGTAACTGGGAATAGTGCTGTTCCAACATCAAATTATGGTAAAATTCAGGGGAGCATGCCCCCCTGAAACCTCCCACCATATCCCCCCTGAAACCCCTCTACTCTTGGGGCTAAAACTGGCGAATACCAATTGCGGGGTTGGAACTACCGAAAAAGCGCCGAATAGGAATAGCACACCCTTGCGTACGCAGATCGACTGCTGTCTTTCAGCTGTTTGGGTTCGTTCAGTGCAGAGTTTTAGTTTTTTAAAATTTTAATGACCTCTCGCCTCTCATTCTAGTCAAATTAAGAAAATAGTCGCCTCCTCCTTCGGAAGAGGTTTTTTCTCAGCATAACCATTTTAGAAAAGCGTTCTTCCAAAATTTGAATTCTTATTATTACTCCAAAACTTGTTAGAATCTAGTATCACTTTGTTTTTTTAAAGTAGGGTAACAATTTACAATTGTGAACAGGGCGCCACTGAATTTTGAGGACATTTTTTTAATTGGCTCAAAGAGAGGAGTGAACCCTCTTGTTGTAGACTCTTTGACTACGATTACTTTTTGACGTGTGTGCCGATATGGAGAAATACCCTATCAAAATCTAATTGCAAAACATAAAATCATGGTCAAATACCCCCCCTGAACCCCCCCCCCCCCCCCTCATGTTTTTGTTAGGTCAGGGGTTATAACTTCATGCATTACCATCACTCAAAACGTAACATATATCAAATTGAAGGAAATGAATGAGGAATACATTCCAATATGAAACAAGGATTAATTTTGAACATGACAGGTATGCTTACTAAACAAGGGTTACAAATGGCGATGGTGATTGATGAGAAAAATAAATTTTGACGGAAAAAAATTACATCACCAAACATGTGAAAGCAAATATCAGCATAGCTCTAAAAGTTTGTCTGTATATAACTTCACTAGCCAATTCTTAAAAGTGCCGGTTTGCCAGGTAAGGTTTCAGTAGGAAGTAAGTAAGGAATAGAGCATCAAACAGAAACCTATAAGCGTTACCAATTTGAGCACGGCGCACCGGCAGTGGAATTTTAGTTGCCGCGGGGGGTTCCCCGCCGGGCGCCTTATCACGTCGGGGTCACGGGGGTCAGCTCCCTGTTGCCGCTCTGTCTGGGCCGACCTAATTTTTGGTACTTTTCAACGTACAATTTAAGGTGTATCCTGGTATTTATGGTAATTCTCATTTAGTGCATCCAAAGCATGCATTTCTGCTCTTGAGACTCAAAAAAGAACGGACGTTGTAACTTGTCTGGTTATTTCGTTAGACGCGCTGGAGTCAGCAATGCTAAATTGTAATTTTTTTGGGACTAGCATGAATGAAAAAAAATCAATTTTTAAAAAGTGCATCGTCAAAATCTGTAGAACTTTTGGAACATGTACAACATAACATTGGTGCAGGTACTCAGAAAAGATGGTATCTGCGCCTATAAAAAATAAGGCTGTAATTTTACAATTTTATCCATCGGGCACACAATTCGCTATGAAGTAATTCCTCCAAATACAGCTTTATGTGTCTAATACAATCGTAAATATTCGCATATTTTCTCGAAGGTTTATAAAAGTTACCATGAAGTTTCTCTGTGAAAAGTACAAATTGATTTTAGTGCTAGAATACATCTTCAAAGTAGATCTAATACACGAACAGTATCTGTTACACTCCAGAAATTCCTTACTTTCCTTAAAACGCTAAGTCTAGTTTTTGTAAGTTGACTGAATAATAGGGATGACTTCTCGTAATTGGGTTATAAGAATAATTTGTAGCTTTCCAGGGACACTGAATCAGCACCAGACTTTTCCAGCTTTTTTTTTCGTTTTTATGACCATTTGCAATAACTGACAATGTGACTGATTTCTTTACATTCATAATTGTGTCCGCGCATATTTCTTACACAAAAACTAAGAATGAATGTTTCTGTTGTCATTATTTTTATTCCATACAAGAAGTTTATCTCTACCCATATATTTACACGGTTTTGTGGTTTTTTAAATCGCTTATGTTATATCTTTTTAGTTGTATGCAGGCTGCCACAGACACAGCATGATTCATGAACAAACGCAGAGTAACTTTCTCTTGTTTAATAGTAAAATAAGAGCTAACGCTGATCGTCTTTAGTTAAAAAATGCAGATATGCATCTTTCTTCTCTTATAACTTGACTATTACTACTAGCGCAGATTTAAGATTTCTCATGGTAAAAGACATTATATTCGTAGTCAGTTTAACTCAGATTTTGGAGAGATCTGTCGTGCCTTTTTAAAATTAACAATAATTTATTCATAAGTTTGTAACTAAAATAGGACAAATCGGGTACTCTACAAACACTTGTCAAGAGCAAAAACTAAGGCACAGAAACTAACCATTCTAACGCAGAATAAATCTCAAGACATTGAGCTTTTAGTACATCCGCGCAATGGTTTGCTATGTGGGATGGGGAAGAAGTTTTATCGTTTTAAACATAGTCAAAAATGCTAACTTCCCGACCGACAGCGGCAAAGTCGCTTCAGGGCTCATTAACCCCGTGACCCCGAGCCGGGGAGCTCCGGCGTGCTGCTGAGTCACGCGAACTAAAAGTAACAGAATCGGGCGAAAAGTGACGCCGTGTGAGCCATGCTGACCATAAGTGTTCTTACAGTAACTGGTGACGGTTTTGCTGATTACATTACAGATGAAATACAGGTGTATTAAACAGTCTTTCTGTCAATAAAGTAAGCAGCTGAGAAGCCATTGACAACTAGAGGCTTTCTCTGTGGGCCCAGTAGAGGATTTGTAAAATTTCTGGCTTTGAATGTGGTGTCGTGTGAAGTTGTTAGTCTCTTTTGGACACCTTCAAATCGGCAAAGCGATTTTGAATGTTGACAATAAATGTGTCTCGATGTAGTGGAATGAAGCCCTCGTCAAAATAACGAAATTGGAGAAACGGGCATTTTTCCGCAAGTTAGACAATTTTTATTTAATTTTTGTTTTTTGGCTCAAATTCTTTTATGTCCATGCAAAAACATAGTTCCATGTGAATTTTACTGCAAAACATTGATTAAAGGCACAAAGTATGTCATTTTTCAGTTTTCAAGCTTTAGCTATTGGAGGTACCAGGCTTTGGTGGCCATTTTCTCGCTAATTTCACCCCTGAAACCAGGCACCCTCACCTCCTTCAATCGTAAATTTTTTATATCTTGACTTCTGTTTAAGATCATAGATGCGTATTTTTTTTCATTGAAAGCAAAACAAATAAATTATAAGCTTTCAGATGATGCCAATCACTCCACATGCCCCAAAATTGGCGAGTGCCTGATTCCACCAAGGTCGTGACAAATATTAATTAAGATTTACTTGAAGCTGAATGCAAATTATTAGCAGCCATAAATCTCTTGTCCACTGTCCACTCAACTCTCCAACCGATAAAAAGTGACAAGCTCCGCCGATCTTGCTGAGTTCACCAACTGCCCCTGGTCACGAGTGTAGTGTGTAGATCTAGAACTAGTAGTGTTGTTTCAAGTCTTGTGTAGTGTACACTACATTGTACTAAAGTAGTATCAATCAATAGTATCTAGTTGAAGTTCCAGACTGGAACATTTACTATTTTTTTTATTAACCAAGGGCGCAGCTGAGTGATTCGTGATCAGTTCGCCCTTACACTTAGTAAAAAAAAATTTTTCCGATATCTTCAGTGAGAGTCGAGATTTTTCAAGGAATGAGGATTGTTCGGAACTCACTTGAAAGTCTGAAACCTATCAAATGGCACTGAAATTTTCTGACTCGCCTCATTCAGAGGGACTGCAAAATATCTAAATTTATATTATTACACAAACACTCCCAAATTTGGCAGCAAATTGAACGAAAAATTGATCTTCACTCTGCAGTGTTCTGTTTACAAATCGAGAAAAAAACAGTTATGAAGTTGTTACTTTGTAGGTTCATTTTTGAAAATTGTATTCAATCACTGTCCGGAATACACCAACATCCTTGCGGAAAAGCTGAACTGTATATTATCAAGCTATTTTGTGAAATCTCCCGTAAAGCAATCACATGAAAAATAAAGTCGACGTCGTTCCTGTTTTACACGTGGCCAAAAAGCGGGAATGGTAAACTTAAAACACTGCCACACAAATGGTAAACCCTTGCTGCCAGCTCGGTGTGCCATCATGGCTGCGTAAATCATAGCCGTTTATTAATTGGTTATTTTAATTAAACTGAATACCACGGATAACACAATTCTCATGGACTAGGACCATGACGTGAAGGTTTCTCTGTTTCGCATCACAAATAAATGGGCTAATAGGGATTTTAGTGTTGATATGGATTTCAAGATATTTATAACTGCATATTTACATGTTATACTTTAAGTATTTACAATGTTTTTTGCAGAATCTGAATGAAGATTACTGGATGTAGATTTGTGTAGATTTATGCAGATATTGTAAGCCTACGCTTACTCATAATGAACAAGCAGAAAAACAATTATTACAGAATACACACACCAGATAAACATGAATGCAATATTGTAGCTCTAAGTCATATTGTCATGGTACAGAAAGGGGTAGGAACATATCCTCTAGGCTCAAATAACTATGTAATTGAGCGCAAAATTTGGTTATTCATTAGTTATTATACTCATAATATAATAATCAAGTTGAGTTTATCCCACATTTTCTGATTTTTTTCCTCTTTGCAAACATGAATTTGTATAACATCCAATGACTGTAATTATTATAACAGAATGGACTTAGTAGCCTTTACACTATATAATATTAACAAGCCATGTTTGTTTGCTTTTAAATGAAATGTGCATAGTTAATTAGTTTAATAAGATTATAGTTATCTGGGTGCTAAGATTAAAACTTTAATTATTTTATTTTCAACTTTGTTGCCCCATAAAACATATGAAACATCTAAATATCAGCTCATTCCGTCCATAAATCTAGTAGATAATAATATTATATGTTAATGAGCAATATTTCGGTTCGATTTCCCTTTCTTTATATCACTAGAAATTTCCTTCAAAATACCCTCAATTTCCTTCATGTACACAGTCATAACTTTTTATTTGTTTATGGACTGATTTTCTAAAAGTGAAAAGCATTTTGCTAAAGAATTATTGATCTTTGTCTGTGTTGTTTATAGCTCTTTAATAGTAGTATTGCTGCTTAGTCTGTGACACATGTTATATATTATTATTTATTATGTTATAAGGAAGAAAACCAGTGAAGTATATTGTCAAAATGTAGAAGGATAGTAATTTTCTTTGGTTTTCTTGTTTGCAGGTAAATAATTGTCACGGTCTCTAACTGTGAACTGTGCTTGCTTGAAGTTGGATGTGAAGTTGACTTGGACACCATGAGCTCTAATCTCGAAGCTCCTGAAGCAGAGGCTAGTCAGCTGGTACCAGACTTTTCACAGAAACTTGTGATTGATGAGACTGTCGGAGCAGAATCCCCTCCTGCTGCCACTGGTGTCAATTCTCCGTCCGGTGAGGAAGTACAGCAGCATGACCCTTCAGGGCAGGATGTTCTGCAGGACTTGCATCATGCTGAATCTGGCAGTTCTCAGCCAGTGGCTCTTGGTCAAGCCAAAGACTGGTCTGAGTCTTCTGTGTCTGATGTGCCCCAGGCTTTGAATTATTCTGAAACAAACAATTCTCTCTCTGTGGCTCCAGATCAAGCAGTGATATGCTCTGAATCTTCCATGAGTGGCATACCTAAAGATCTGGATCATGCTATATTAAATAATTCTCACCCTGTGGCTCAAGATCAGGAGGGAAGATGTTCTGAATCTGATGATGTTCAAATGGTGTTGGCTTCAGAGAAAGCTGCTGCTGTACATCCTTCTGAGCAAGGAAAGAAAGATGAGCATGGTAAAGCTAATTTCACATGCCCTTGTGGAGAGAGCTTTGAGAAATCTGTTCAGCTTGCTTCTCACAGGCGTTGGTCGTGCAAACTTAAGGTGAATGTAGCTCAGTGCAGTTTGTGCAAAGCGTGGTTTGCCTCTGAGGGTGGTCTTGGGCGCCATATGAAGCATGTTCATGGGGGTGTTTTCTCCTGTGACAAGTGTTCTCTACGATTTCACAACAAGATACAGTTGACAAGACACTGGATGGAGGCCCACTACAGTGATGTGGAAGCGAGTCAACTGAAATGTTATGTGTGTCAGAGAGAAGGTTTTGGCAGTAAATTTGAACTTCACTGCCACCTACGTGATCACAGGATTGAAAGGAGAGCGAAACGCAGGTCTCTGTCAGTGACAGATGAGTCTGAAAGTTCATTAAGAGGAGAAAGTGAAAGTATTCGTGAATTTGCACACCCTCTTCATCATCATTGGGGTGACCCACCTCCATATGCTCCCCATCCTCATCATCACTGGTCTCACAAGAGGCCTCACTGGAGACGCCATCAAGCTTCTGACTCATCTTTCCCCTATCCTGGAATGCAGTTTTGCCGACCATTCTTTCACCCACCACCACCACCACCACCACCTCCTCCACCTCATTTCCCGCCTCCTTATTTTTACCCATTTCAAGGAGGAGGGCCATCTGGGAACGATTCCACTTTATCTGGAGATGGACAATCTTCAAACCTGAGATCATCACAAAGTATACCGAACCCTCACACCCCAGATGATGTTCGTCCTCGTCATGATCATGAACTCCCACCCACATTTCACAACCAGCATCTGTGGCACTCTCACTTTTGGAAAGCGTTTAGGCGTAGAGGCCACCACCACCATTCCAGGGGAGATGGATTCAAGTGGAAGAAATATCTAAAGCTGCTAAATATGGGTGAGTCTGGTTTTGCGCCAGTCCCTCATTGGCGCAAGGCTTTTCGTAGTGAGCAACTTGCAGCAGATGAAAACTCCCATTTAATAAAAGTTCCTTGTGAGTTCTGTCACAAACCAGTCGAAGCAAACCAAATGGGCAGACATCACCGAAAGGAATGCTCGGGTCTGTTGCTTCATCGTTGCTGTGTTTGTGACCGTACATTCAGGAAGAGGCACTTTCTCATCAAGCACATGCATGAAGAAAAGCATTACTTTCTTCCCAAGCAGCAGGCACCACTGGCTGGAAGGGGATCACCTTCGACTCAGGCCACAGACTCTCTTTCTTTGTCTCAGCTTCAGCAGAGGCTGAGTTCCACTTTGAGTCTCAAGGACACGAAGACAGACATTTCTTCCAATGACTCTACCGTCAGACTTTCTGCTATTGGTGGCTGTGCTATATCAGATGAAGAAATTAATGTGGTTGAAAGAATGTCATCCCACATGCCTTCAACACTCCAGACCAGAAATTGTCCCACTGTAAATAGTAGCGAAAATGATAAAGGCTCTCAGTTGTCCGACGTGACAGCCAAGATTTGTAACTCTTTTAAGTGTTCTATCTGTAAGATTTGTTTTAAGACTAAGGAGTTTCTTTGTGATCACTTGCAAGAACATATTAAGCGGGTTTTGTCTTTTCAGAAAGTTCAGGAATGGACGCAAAAATCCTCCAATTATTTCTCTGTTGGTGTACAGGAGGATGAAGATTATCACGAGTCTGATGCTTCTAGTTTTGTAAGTGGTCTGGAGTCTGAGGTCACATCTGTTTCTGCTGCCACCAACACCACTGCAGACAGCAGTAACTTCTCCAGCCTAGAAACATGTGCAAGTGGCCCAAAAAACTTACGACATGAAAAGAAAAAGCATGGTCATCGCGCCAAAGGAGAGGTGCACATATGCTTTTTCTGCCGCCAAGCCTTCTCATTCCGGAAAGATCTGAAGGCTCACATGAAAGATCAGCACAAAGAGAGAGTGTTGAAGTGCCCCATTTGCCAGAAGGAATTTAGCTGGCAGAAGCGCGGAAAGTTCTACGAGCGCCACCTCAATTCCCACTATGGGATCAAAGTTTTCAAACACAAGTGTGAGATATGCGACAAGACATTCCTAGAAGGCTCCAAGCTGAAAGCCCACATGGCGGTTCACAGCAAAGAGCCCTTGTATAAATGCCCCGAATGCGGTAAAGGCTATGGCAATAAGTCCAGCTTGGTGCGGCATCAGCGTAAACACACGGGTGTCCGGCCGTACAAGTGTGATGTGTGTGAGGAGAGCTTCATTGAGAAAAGAGAGCTTATCCGGCACTCTGCAAGCCACACTGGAGTAGCTCCATTCTTATGCTCTGAGTGTGGTCAGGGCTTTACTTTAAAGACTTCACTAATGACTCATATGAAGAAAAAGCATTCCCAGCCTGCTGTATCTGCTGCTATGTAAATGTAATCCTTCAAAATGTGAGGCATAACCAAGCATATTGTGTTATGGAAGCTGAAGGAAATATAGCTTGCTATGTATTGCGAATGTCTTTCATTGATTCTTTAATGAATGTTCGTGTTCTCAGATTTAACTCATTGAGGACGCACTGTTTTTGATCACTTAAAAAAAGAGGCATAACTTCCTTACTCATGCAGATTTTATTTCTGTTTTCTTTGCCTGAAGCTTAAAAAAGGCAGGGAACAACATGCATACTATGAACTGGGCAAATTCATGTTTCTGATTTTTGTGTATGATGGTTTGAAATATATTGCACCTTTGGTAATAGGAAATACGTGTCCTCTACATACTCAGAGTTCAGACAAGTTAAGTTCATGTCCAGGGCAAGGCATAAAGGTAATACATCTTTTGAAAAGTGGATAAATTATCATTGTGTGCATTTCTGGGTAGAAAATAAAGATTCTGAATTAGTTTTGCTCCACCTGAAATTTCCCAGCAAAAATAGTATCAAATATGATGTCTCTATTGAAACATTGCAGACCTCTCAGTCTCAGATGTCATGTTAGTTAATTTTTAATTTCCTTGGGCAAAACCAGGCTTTTTATGGTACTCTGTACAACTTGCATGACCGTCCCTTCCCAACTCTCCATCACTATTGTTATCTCAGTATTTGGCATTACCTATTCCTTGTGTATGATGAAAGATAATTGTGGTAGGGGGCTATAAAATTATTATGTTTGCATCTTTATCAGAGTGTGATGATTACATTCCCAACCAATTTTTAATTTTTGTGTTTCTGAAAGTTGTCTGTCTTTAGTCTGAATTTCATGGTGTATGTTATTAGAACAAGATACACATGGTGGTCTGTTAGCTCAGTTGGTATTATACTTGACTTCAGAGCAGATGGCCTTGGTTTGAATCCCAGACTGGGCATTCTTGAATTTGGGTTGTTCTGTGAAGTTTTGAAGGCTCTGAACCTAGACTATCTTAGATCAGGCCACGTAACCCACATGACTGGCTTCAACATTGACGTCCGGCCGAGTAGAAGGAAAGTGATAGTTATTTTGAGATTTGGAAAACACGTCTTCTTCAGAGGAAAAAAAGCAGTGACTTTACAGTTATGTTTTTGCTCCGACTGAAGCACAAGTCTGAAAAGAAAAGCAGATTATTTATTGAAGCTCATCTTTCACTGTTGATGTAAAAAGAGCATCAAAGGGTTGAAGAAATCCTAATTCAGTGTTTTCCATTTTCACTCACCAGCCATGGGTAACAGTGAATGTGTTTTATGTGGGTCCTATCTGCACTTTGAATAACTACACCAAACAGGTACAAGTGAACTTGATGACTGTAATAAGGCCTGACCATCTGTGTTCTTGCGAGAACTTGTTTTTTCCATCATGTCAAAGGATACAGTATCATACAGTAAGGATATTGCCTATATTGGTTAGTGTGTTGTAGAACTGCTGGCAAGCTCTCTGTTCATACCGGATGTGTTCAGCAATTTTGGACTTCAAAAAAGTCATTTTGGGCCTAACTGTTCTTCAACAGACCTACAGTATTTTACCTGGCTCAAAGAGCTGTCCAGAGTGTTTCCAGAAACGAGGGGAGGGGGAGGGGGGAGGGATGCATTGCACTCGCATGATTTGTATGCATGCAAATCCTGCAGTTCATATAAAGCATTTTATTTTGGCATGATTTCCATTTCATCTCTAATGTGGCAAGGAAATTGAGAGCTACAGTAGGCCTACTTTCAATGGGGATGAAATTGGATCCACTTCCAGTCCTCAATATATCAATGGCAGTCTTTCTTTGATTTATATCGCCTTGAGGATATGAGAACTTTGGTCACTTCTCCAGAAAAGCCTCCACTTTCAAACTTGTCCCCAACACTTTGCTATTGGCAAACAAAGCTTTTTGTGTTGGGAATGTTTCTTGTCCGGACTACTCGATATGTGGAGCAAATTTTCTCTTGCAGAAAGGAGTGGGTGCACCGAAAGCTCAGCTGGTTTTATGCTGGACTAAATGTACGGAATGGATGGCCTTGGTTTGAATCTCAGACTGGGTGTTCTTGAACTCATGTTTTGTGGAGATTTTAAGGCTCTCAACCCATTTGGCTTAGTCCTATCGGGAGGTAGTCCTGTCTCTTAAAAAACCTAATAGTGTTGATAGGGACATTAAATCCATACACAACACTGAAGAAGGAATGCCTGTCCAATGAGGATTTGCATCAGAAGTGGGGAAAAGGTGTGTGTTGGCCATAATGGTGCTACAATGATCCTGGTTGCTTTGTCTGTTCTTCACTTTGTGTATGACTGGAGATATGAGAGAGAAAGGTAGAAATGCATAAAAATATATTAAATTAAATGACTGCAAACCTAAATAGTTGGTCGTAAAGGCATCCAGTGAGAAACATCTGAATCTGCTCTAGTACGTAGGCCCTACTTTGGGAATTGTTTATTCAGCTGGGCGGTAAAGAGATCAGTGTCTGAAACTGCAGCACTGTAACCAACCGTAAGTGCATTCAATAAAGATGCTCTCCAGATTCATTTTGCATCAGTGTTAACTGTTGTACTGTCTTTGTCTGCTTCTTGATTATCCTTCCCAGCAATTTTTGCACCAGATTTACTGGCATCTGTGGTGTAGCAGTCGGGCTTTTCATTGTCACACGCATGAGACTTGAGTTTGATTCCCGAGCGGGGAGACATTTTTATCAAGTATCTTGTCTTTCTGCTGGGATGTTGTGTCCCTCTCAGCCCAGGTTGGCCCTGACAGGCAGGGTCAGAAGCTCGCCTCTTAAACGATCTAAATTGTGTTGTCATACAGTTGTGAAAGGTGATAAACTTGTGCCTTACCACATCACACCTAGTCTTGTTTTGTCTCACAGTCACAGTGATATCTCTGTGTTGTCTTTCTGTTTCATTTTTTCTGGGTCATCACCATCAAGAACATTTGGTCAAATGCTTTTTTAGATGAGAGATTCTGATGTGAGAAAGTACATTTTCCTGTTTTCAGGTAAAAGACAGCATGCGTGGGTGCTCTGGTGTGGTTTGCTTCTTCTTTCCTATCAAACATCTATCGTCCTTATCTCCCCTTCTTTTTTATGTTTGTTACTCTCCTGTAATACCTCTAATCTTCTGGTGCTCATGTGACCTTATGCAGTCGAGAGCACCATAAAACCTCTACTAATACAAAAAACAGACAGCATTCTAGTATTTCAACAACACTTACTTAAGAACAGTGACAATTTCTTTTGTTATTAATTTTTAACTGTGGAGGGAGAGCGACACAACCTTGCAAAAGTCTTAAGAAATAAGGTCTAAAGACTGCTGCTTTTGTCACGTACTCCTGTCTGTCCATTTTACTATAGATAGTTTAAAAGTGTCAAGGTTTAATGTGGCTATCAACGCTAATAGGTTATTAAAATAAAGAGACGGAACCTCTGAATTTAACTTACGTCTCCGATAGGACTGAGCTAAATTGGGTTGAGAGCTTTGACAACTCCAGAAAGTGACCCAAGTTCAAGATTGTCCAGCCTGGGATTTGAACAAGTCCAGCATGATACCTACTGAGCTAATGGAGCGCCCCTATTGACAGTAATACATGTAGTTACAAATGTGAGTTGTTTTAGTGAACTCTGCTCAGTGGGTGGTTGGCGGGTGCTCTGGCTCCTTCTTTCCTATCAAACATCTATCGTCCCTATCTCTCCTTCTTTTTTGTGTAGGTTACTCTCTTATTCATCTATTCTTTGGCACTTATGTGACCTTATTGTGTTCCAAGTGCTGTAAAACCCTTACTAAAACAAAAGAACTCTGCTCATATTAGGTGTGAACTATATAATATTATATAATATATACATGTATGTTATGTTTTAAGCTGTCTCCCATTTTACTGTACTCAGATTTTCTTTTTCGATTTATGTTGGCACTTTTGGTGTTTTTGTTGATTGCGTGTTTGTTTCTTAGGATAGGGAGTTACTTACCATTTTTATTGAGTTAATGTTTTTTTATGCTTTACTGTTACTAGATCTAGTGTTACTGTTGTCCTTGTTGGTGGTCTCCCTGAATTCTATGTGTCATGCTGTGATTTGTTGTAAGAAGTCAATGGATTGATTTGGTTGATTTTTTTTTTTTTAGTGGTCTTTTGATAGAGGTTATTTTTATTGATACATAATAATCATAATATATGTAATAGTATTAGCTTTAAAAAAAAAAGAAAAATGGGTGGGACTCTTTGCGGTCATTTTGGATTTCTCTTTTATGCATAAAAAGTTCCCTTCTCTCGAACTGTCATTTGTGTCTGTGTGTGTGTGTGTGTTTGTGTGTGTGTGTGTGTATTTTATGAAGGGAATTTCAATGATAGGAAACTATAGGAGATTCAAATATTTTATACAAGGGCAAAAAAAAAAAGAAAAAAGAAAGCAGCATTTTGCTTTGAGTTATGAAAAGGCCCGGTGCATATTTGCATATATTTGAATTTAGAGATAAGCTCTTTTTTGTAACCATCTCTATTTGTGTCCAGAATATATGCCTTGGAATTTCATTGACTTTCGTACCCTTATATTAAAAAGAGGTGGTAGTTGTATAGGTTTAAAAGTTTAATGCCCTTTTCAGCGTTGTAGGTAAATTTAAGAGGTGAGACCCGTGAATTTAACGTCCGTCTCTGATAGGACATTGCCAAGTTGGTGGAGAGTATTGAAAACTCCCAAAACAATCCTTATTTGGAGATTCGAACCGAGGCCATTTGCACCACAGCTTAGCATGATATCATAAGGGCGCTGTCTCATTTAAAAAGTAAAAGTAAAAGTTACTAAAAGCCCCTTTCAGGTGAGGTACAAATGTACATGTATTTAAATAAAGCTGCACTGATATTGATAACATGTTTGGTGGAGGTAAGGATAAGAATTTATTTTTCTTCTTCATAACACTGTGACTTTCGCTTTTATTGTTTTGTTCTTAACATTTGGCTGGTGATTAAATTTCAGTGTATGTTTTTAAATGATCACATTTTTCTTTGACATGTGACTAGTTTAAGTTCAACCAGTTTTTATTTTTTTAAAAAGATGCTGCAAATTGAACATTCTGGTGATCATTATAGTTGATATTGTGTCCATTTGTTTCTCCTTACTCAAACAAGCAAAAGAGAACACACTGGAAGTCACTTTATTATAATATCATTTGAATCACAGTTGATTATGCCATGAAAGAATGGGTATTTATTTATATTTATTCTTGTACAATATATATATAATATGCATACGCTATATTAGATCCACTTGTGTTGTGTGAGTGTAATTTATTGCTGAAAATGAAACCATTTATCGTAATAATAAACACCAACTTTCTTTTTGCTGACTCGAGTGTGCTGTGCTTCTTTTGTGTCACCAGCTGTATTTTGTTTCGTACTGTCTGTGATTTCCTTTAATTTAAAAAAAAATACAGTCTTGTAAATTTAAAGTTTTTTTTCTGGTTTGTGGATGACTGGCAGGTGCTCTGGTATGGTTTGCTCTTTCTTACCTCTGTCAAACATCTGTCGTCATGATCTTTCCTCCTTCTTTTTTGTGTTTGCTTCTCTCTTTCAACACGTCTAATCTTCAGCACTTCTGACCTAATTATGTTTGCAAGTGCCGTCCGTAAAGTTCTGACTCTTCAATTCCCCCAAAAAAAATCTTGCCTGCCCCGGAGAGGACAATTGGTTGCTTTTAAACACAAGGGGTTTATCCCGAAAAATGCTGTTTTGAGAATATCGAAGGTAAAGTTTTTCCCCTTGTTCAGTTTCTTTAGAAGGCAAGGTCAGGAGAGTTTTCTCTATTTATAACCAAACTAATATACATACCAATGAAACCAAACTTCTCCTTTAGAGGGCAATGCCCACTTTTGGTGTTGGTCAAGATTTCTGGAAACCTCCGAAATCTGGGTTAGCCCGCTTGTCTTTCAAAGCGACCAATTCTCACTCGAATTGAAAAGTTCACACGCAGCTGACAGAACCCACGTAATGTTGCTGTCTTTTATGTTTGTTTTTGGTTTTCTTTCACAGCTTTTTCATGTATCTGGAGGGCCAAGGGCGCCCCCACCCCCACCCCCAAGGCAGTGCTACTAACTGAAGTGTCTTCAGGCCTTTCCTAAAGGGGGATATTTACATTTTCTTACTACCTTATGCACAGTGGCAGACACCCTTAAAGATCATGGGATGTCCCTCCTACAGGCCACACGACTTGCTGCAGACAGACACCTGTGTCTCCCCGCGACACCCCAGGGTCCAAGCGGAAGAAAAAAGTAAAGTAAAGCACAGTATAATTGTAAGTGTGCTGATTTATCAATGTCATACCCATACTGGGCTGGAACAACACGGGGGGGGGGGGGGGGGGGGGGGGCTGCTGCTTTTTCTTCCTCATCCTCGTCCTTACTATCATCGTTTTTCCTGTACTTCTTTAGTATGTTTGTCACTCTTTAGTGAACTGCTATTTCCGGGGTGCCTTGAAGTTGATAGTGGAAGCACATTTTATGCTGTTGAGGCTAGAGAGGTGAGCAGAGTGAGCCTGATTCCCCGCTTGGACTTCTCTGTTGATATACTCCCCTTGGCGCTCATGCAGTTGCGAGCGCCATAAAACCTTACTAAAACTAAACTAACTAAGCGGAGGGCGGCCACTGGTAAGCGCTGTTTCTTGATCACCATTCCTCTTTGAATACTTTTTGGTCTGTCTTATCTGGCCCTTTCCCAGCACGAAAACTCCAAATAATTAATTGTGTTGATGTGTGTCTCTTATTTCCGAACTCGACCTGGCTTCTGTGATGTCATGATTTGGGGGTCCTACTATTTGCCGTCCGGAGCCGTCTGGAGCCAACCGGGTCCGGAGGCCGTCTGGCAAGCAGCACTCATATGGGCTCTTACTAAGGGAGGACTTTCGTAACGAGCGATCAGCAGAGAAGAATAGAGGCTTAGGGGTTGGGGTAGGGTTTAGGTTAGGGTTAAGTCTCTTCTTTATTGCGTTTGTTGGGGTGGTCGCTCGTTACGGAAGTCATTCCCTTACTTACTAATTGCCGTCTGGGACCTGTAGCCATTCAATCCAACCTGGATCTAGATCTCTAGACTACGTGCTTCACAACCGTTTCCCCTCGACTGACCATAACATTCCGAAGACAACAGTCTCAACGACAACGACTAACTACAACAACCGCACAGTCACAGCATCTCTCACAAGTGCTGCAGCCTGTTACGCGAGAACCACCTACATTCACAAACCCTTCGCTGTCTTTAATTGGCAGATATACCCCTCTTACACCTGGGTGGGGTGAGAAAAGGAGGCTCATGTAGGCTACCTTTTCCTAGGGTACGCGGATTAGCAGTGTGTCAAAGTCCGAATTACAACATAGAAACGGTTAAAACAAAGCATTCAGCACCACACATAGCTCTACATAGATATGAAGTACATTTAGCCTTATACATGTATATTTATTGGATTTTTCATACCATATCATATTTTTAACAAATTCAAACAAGATGAGAATGAACTGAATTTGATAATGGTACTGTTTGTGATGGTGATTGT